GATCAGACATTTTTCAGAAAACAGCATATTTTTTTCAGCCTCAGCACATCATATGTTGTGTTTGCTCTATATTATCAATTGAATATCAGGTATAAATGAATGAAACAATAAAATTATACTTTTATCAACATTTTACATAGCATCCAAACTCTTTTGGAATTGGAGCTGTACGATTCTAAATATAAAAAACATTTAACATTTACAGTGATAAAATCACAGACATTTCATAATCATGTATTTATATATCATATAATACATTATGATATATATTTGATTGTTTAATCTATCTTGTGAAAAGGATGGTTGCATGTAAAAGTCAACTCCACCATGCACCTATTAGTTAAGGCACAGGCACTATGTAGGATTTGGGCAGAATTAATATGCCTTCATTATTTTACATTGCATAATATCCTGAATATGGCTAATATGTTGCATCAAGGCTACTTCCAAACACTGCTGATAATGGCCTCAATGATCTGAGTAGGTAGTGATGTGTCAGCTATCATGAAGACACTCTTCTACTTAAATCCTACACTAAGCCTTGAATTATTTTTTTAAGGGCAGCTGCAGTTTTCATTATTTTCTACTGAGTTGACTTTTCACCCGCATGCAACAATCCCTCATCGTAAGATGACTCAAGCACAGCAAGTCTGAAGTATCACAGAGCACCTGTTTGTGATCAAAACAAAGACCCAGCAGCATGCCGACTCATCTGTCTCCAGAATTACTTGTTTGTTTTAGAAATCATGGGAATTTATTCTGTTCATAATCCACAAGTAATTATCAAAGGATACAGGTCAAATACCATCCCCCTCTTGTACAAAGGAAAGATGGTCATTGTTGTAACTCTAGAGTTGTATTCTTTATGCATGTGTGAAACCAGCAAATGTCATGCTAATAGGTCTAGTCACTGATACTGGCAGGATTTACATGTGAGGCTTTCTCAACTGAAGAGTAGTAGTCAGATAAATACTTGTAATGTGTGGTTAAATATGCTTTTTTTTACGCTGAAGTGGAAATACAAATAATCTATAAAGAATATGTAATTGTATGGTGAGTGAATAAACAAAAAATTACCTCTGGTACCTAAAGTTCTGCATGGCTACACTGTTTGAGAGCCACTTTAGCCACATTTCTGAATATTTCCAGAAAGAAAGCTGGCCTTTAGTTTCCTATTTAAATGACTCTCATAGTGTGAAGTTATTTCTGTCAGATTAGGAGTAAGACTCAGGAGGTAGGACATGGTGTGAAAAGTCTGCAACAGACATTGCAGTGTGAAAAGAAAAGCCACTATCTCGAAGATGGCTGATGAAGCCACACAGATCTTTATTATGATGACATATGTTATGTAATGCTATGTGGATGTTTCTACAGACAAAGACAACATATGAGGCTGCCTCAGCAGACACAACATGACTGCATCAGTTACTGTGAGGCTTCTTGAAAATGTTTGGAAAAATTCCACATGAAGTTGCTGTTAAAGTTTGTATGTGTGTGCTTTCACATGCAGCTCAACCTGAAAGTTAAGAAAGCTCATTATACATTTTGGTATATAGAGGAAAATGTTTAACAAGCAGAATGAATTAGAATCCCCTTGGATTTGCATACTTTTTCCACTTAGTACCCAGCTTCCTGCTAAAGCTATTAACAAGGCAATATAAAATATTTAAAGATGACTTCATTGATTTAACAATGATACTTCTATATCATGGTGAATACTGCTTTCAGGCAGTCGATTCCTATCAGCCTTCTTGTGGGACAAAGTCACATAAAACTGGACATTTCAATTCACAGCCAAGTAGAAACATCGGCCTGCTTATCAGTCAAAGTTCACCTAAATTTGACAATTTCACTGACATACACAAGGTAAACAGGACTTCTGCTGGAAGTCTGCCTCATGTTGACAGAAACCCTCCTTCTAGGAGCTTTACAGTCATTACACTTTTAAACATAAATGATGCAAATATTATACTGTTAACACTGTTTATACTGTGACTATCACCTCTGCTTCAATCTGCTTTGAAAACACCCACCATGTTGTTTGGTTTGCTTATTTGTGATGCTAAAGAAAATGTACATCTTTGCCACAGTGTCAACAGGCAGAGGTGAAATGTGCTGGTCCTCCTTCTGCAGATTGATTTAATATCACTTATGAGGTTGTCCCGTTTTTACATACCAGAATCATTCAGCACACACAGGCAAGTACGCTGATATGCACATTTTCACTGAAAATGACCACGTTTTCAACCAGAGGCATAACCTAATCACAACAATGACACTGTAGTAAACATGTCTGAGCTGAAATTCACTCGAGTTGAGCTTGGTGAAATTGTCAGTGATATAAAAAAAGCTGTGCCACATATAAGCAGAAGACAACTCAAGGGCTGGCATCTGGCATACTATTTGTTGGTATATTCAAAGTTTGAGTGGAACCTTTTAGTTATTTAGTCATAGAATTGACATATCTTCATTATTTCTTCTACCTGCCTCTGACCACACATTTGTCTTACACTTATATTACACCTGGTGTAGCTGTAACACCCACATTTTCCTCCAAGGGATAAATAAAACATTTCTGATTCTGATAATTCATGTCATGGCCGCATCTTTAAGATTTAAATAACAGAAATCAAAAATGTATGTTGTTAAGGTGAATATGACCAAAAATATGAAGACACCAACCACAACAGGCTAAGGGGTGCTGTAACAAACAGTTCTGTGGTTGAATGCTAAGTGCGTACAGGGAACAAAAAGATTCCATAAATAATAACAGAGAAAGAGGAGAATAAATCAGTCTGTAGTGAATCAAGAAATGTTCACAGTTCCCTCTCCTCTGGATCCACCCTCACACTGGTCCTACTGGTCTATGAGCATCATATTAGCTTTGCATGATCACAGAGTCTCATCCATAAAGGAAGAATATTTCCTGCAGATACTTTACTTGCAGAGAAGTTAATTACAAAGGTAAGTCTGTAAGCCAGTAAAAAGAAGCACCTCTCATCCTCTCTCTCTCTCTCTCTCTCTCTCTCTCTCTCTCTCTCTCTCTCTCTCTCTCTCACACTCACACACACCTACATAAACTTTCAGCTCAAGGTGAAAAACTGGTAAAGTCAGTTGACATTTCCTTAAAAAAAAGTAAAAAATACAATCTGCGGAAAGAATTTCTGTGTGATTAAAACCAACTCCCCACTTTTAAATGATTGTCAATTAATTGTGCATATAAATGGGAAGTTAATTATTCTTTGGTGAAATGGCCAATTAAGCTGCTAATTGTGTTTTCATTCCAAATTCTAAATGGTAAGTGGATAACAGAAACATGATATGACCATGCATGCAGCCTGCTGTCATGCATGTTTTTCAGAAAAACTAGAATCTAGAGTCTCTGTGTGAACACGTGTGCATGCGGGTCAGAAAAGCTTCGCACACACTGGAGGGTTTGTGCAAAAAGCTACAAAATAAAAGCCTAAAAGGGTACTCTTTTAAGCAGCTAAGGCAAGACAAGCAAGAATCTAACAACTTCCAGGTGAAATTTGTTTTAATTTTACTACATTATTCTGCATTTCTAAGGCATTGTGGGAAATTTACAAATGCTACCACCTCAGAGTGAGTGGGCGTGACAACACAGCCTTAATGGGTTTGGGTTAATTAAAAGGTTAATTGTAAGAAACAGGAGCTGCTTGATGTATGGCTGGTGAGCAATAGTGTCCTCTAGAGGTGAGTGCAACCATGATATACAGTTTCCTTTTCTCCTTGCACACTCTGTCCTTGTGTGCACTGAGTACAGGCTATGTGGTGAAAAAGCTGCTGTGTCTTCTGTGATAACACACCACGCTGCTGCAAACACACATGCATCTCTTTTGGTGCACACTTGATATGCACACTCCCCCACTCATTTTTTTGGCTTGCTGCCCATGCAGGCCAACAAACATCAAGAAAAAAATCAGGCCAACTTTGATTGGCTACAAGGTGCTGGTGTAAGATTACTCTAAGATCAGTTATTCCATCGCTGCAGAACAATGAGGCTCAGAGATTATTTTGGCCACTGCGTCAACTTGAGCGTTTTTCTGCGTCACTCTCCATTCTTGCTCTCTCCTATCGTGTTTCCCTCTCTGGGGACTAAATTGGTTCCCTTATGACAACTGGCTACAGGCCCACTAATTACCCCCCCCACCCCCCTTCACACACGCATATACACTACAGTACCTCTAAGAATAGGCAGCCTGGCCTGTGAAACCCCACCTTGTGCATGTGAGGTCTAAATTTGGAACACAATTGAAATGCAGAATTGTTGCAGAAGATAACAAAGAATAATATTGACCCTGTTTTATTTGGCCAAGCAGAGTGAGTCTGGCTGAGAAACCTCATTGTGACATAACTGTGCATATATGTGCCAATGTACACTCACCTCCATTTTCCACTACAAGAATGACTATGATGCAATAAATTGACTAAAGACTAGTCAGCAGTATGCTTGTGATTTGTTTTTCTAATTTATAAAGATTTGTGATTTTTTTTTTTGGCCTGCTGCAACCTGAGATTGTGGCTCTGCATTAAAAGAGTTGTGATTATAATTTTTGTTTAAATGCTGGGAAAAGTAAGATGACAAACCCATCAAATGAAGGAGAATACGCAGAAGTGCAAGCAAAGTTTAATAAAGCCTATAGGATAACAAGCTAATCATAGCCCTCCTCATTGACTTTGTGATCAATCTATCTTGAATGTGGGTCAATATCAGCTCAAACACGCCTGGCTGAAGCCCCCTGCAAACACAATAGTTGTGTCAAGTGAACACAGAAGGATTTACCCTCAACTACAACTCTGCTAATGTCCATGTGGGAAGCAACATAGAACACATACCACAAGACAAACATACTCGCCAGAAAAATTGGGGCTTGAGAGAGCTCCCCAGCGGATTGGTCCGTGACGGTGTCGACGCCGATGACGTCGCGCTGTGAAACACGTGGGCCACGGTATCCAGAGCTCACATAAACAAAGCCACATTGGCCAGACTGGGTTAGTCGAAGCTGGTGTCGCTGTCAGTGCGCGGAGTCACACGGTTTTGCTCAGCTGCCTGCCTGCCCTCCTGCCTGCCTGCTTGCCTGGCGTTGTTGGAGACCGACGCTCATGATTTGGAGCTTTTACACAAATTGATGAATCCCCCCTGCATGCTTATCGCATGGATTGAAAGCCACGATCCTGATGTGAAAGAGGTAAGCTCCACGCGTCTTTTTCTTTGCAAAATAATCTGTCTGCGCTTTACTTCCACCGCAGTCCGGGAGACGGTTAAATCTTTTTTGATATTTTCTTCCATTTTAGAACTTGTTTTAGAGAAATTAAAACCTGCTGTGACTCCCCAGATGTTTAGCTGCAGCCCGATACTTGACGAGATTTTTCGAGCGTTTTAGTTGTCACTGATGACAAGTGCAAAAAGTTGGTCCGCTCATCAACTGCACGCTCTATTATAAAAGTAAAATACAAGCTGAGTGGCTTCTTTTTCTTTTCATGTGACAAACTTGTGAATATTTTCCAAAAAGCTGTGCGTAATTGAAAATGTGTCCCGGTTTGTGCGCAATTTTCCTTCCAACATCTGTCTTTACCTGGGCTGATGGAGTTAGTTTTAAAAGACATTGTTCTATTTCATAATTGAGTAAATGTCAAAGTTATGTGTTTTATCAGGGGAAGATCCAGAAGAGATCCGTTTTCTTGAATCCTGACACCCACAGAACTCCTGACATTACCCATTTCAAGTGCCACCGAAAAACTGTCAGAAGACTTGAGGTATGCCTGAAAATGAGTTACAATTTGAAAGCATAAATGTGTTGTAATTATGTGTTATTTTATGCTTAAATAACAAATTAAAAAAGGTAAAAACTCTTGATTTTTAAGTTTAAAGAAAAGCCATGTTCAGTCGAGTAATATGCGGAAGTTTTTGCAACATTTATTCCAGTAATTTTGGTGTGTTTTTCCCGGCTTGCTTTCAGCCATGCCCTGCGTCCAGGCTCAGTATGGATCATCACCTCAAGGAGCGAGTCCTGCCTCCCAGAGCTACAGCTACCACACCGCAGGAGAATACAACTGCGACTTCTTAACACCCGAGTTTGTGAAGTTTAGCATGGACTTGACCAACACTGAGATCACAGCCACTACTTCTCTGCCGAGTTTCAGTACATTCATGGACAACTATAACACCAGTTACGACGTCAAACCGCCCTGTCTGTATCAGATGCCGCACTCTGGAGAGCAGTCCTCCATAAAGGTGGAGGACGTCCAGATGCACAGCTACCATCAGCAGAGCCACCTGCCGCCTCAGACAGAAGAGATGATGGCGCACTCTGGGCCTTTGTACTTCAAACCGTCCTCTCCACACGCGCCCAGCACGCCAAACTTCCAGGTTCAGCCTAATCACATGTGGGAGGACCCGGGCTCCCTCCACAGTTTCCACCAGAACTATGTCGCGGCCACTTCTCACATGATAGACCAGCGCAAGAACCCGGTGTCGAGGCTTTCGCTCTTCTCTTTCAAGCAGTCCCCGCCCGGCACCCCCGTTTCCAGCTGTCAGATGCGCTTCGACGGGCCGCTGCACGTTTCCATGAACCACGACAACGGCGTGCACCGCGGCCTGGACGGCCAGAGCTTTGCGGTGCCGAGCGCCATCCGGAAACAGGCGGGTCTGGCCTTCCCGCACTCCCTGCAGCTCGGCCATGCGCACCAGCTAGTGGACAGCCAAGTGCCATCGCCACCGTCCCGAGGATCTCCGTCAAATGAGGGTCTGTGCGCGGTGTGTGGGGACAACGCAGCCTGCCAGCACTATGGAGTGAGGACCTGCGAGGGATGCAAAGGATTTTTTAAGGTGGGATGACATGACAGCAACCACACATCACTGTTTAAGAAATATTTTATCCAGTGTTGGCAGGGATTTTTCTCCTTTTTTCACTGTGCGTCTTGGAAAAAAATGAATCCAAGTGCATTTCTGTTCGGGTTACACTCAATATTTTAAGCAGCAACCAAAAGTGTGTGTAAGAAATAACTCTGTCCACACTTATTTGATCTCATAGGAATAAGAAACATAGAAAAGAATAAGGAATAATGCTTGTATGGCTATTCCCTCTTGTTGCTTAAACGCCCAAACTGGAGATATGACAGATATCATATCGTTTCCATCTTTCAAGTTTTTATTCTGTGTTGGTGTCACTTGTGCAGCATTTTACACTCCGTGTTCTACATGTCTTGGAAATAGAGGCCCTCAGACTGACATGATGTTTCTCTCTCTTTCTCTCTCCCCAGCGCACCGTGCAGAAAAATGCAAAATATGTGTGTTTAGCGAATAAAAACTGTCCTGTTGACAAACGCCGAAGAAACCGGTGCCAGTTCTGCCGTTTCCAGAAGTGTATTGTCGTTGGGATGGTAAGAGAAGGTACGTGTAGGCCATGTGCTTAATCATTTTTGAACACTATTATATTTTATTCTATCTTTAATATCAGGTGTAACATGTGCGTTTAATGCGTCTGATATAATTTCTAGATTTAAGTTTTTAAGCAAAACGACAGAAATTTGTTTTCAGAAAAAAATAAGTCATTTATTTTCAACGCAGTTGTCCGAACAGATAATCTGAAAGGTCGAAGAGGACGCCTCCCATCCAAACCCAAAAGTCCCCAGGAGCCCTCTCCTCCCTCGCCGCCGGTGAGCCTCATAAGCGCGCTTGTTCGGGCCCATGTGGACTCCAACCCCTCCATGTCTGCTTTGGACTACTCCAGAGTAAGTACCACTATCCAAGAAATAAAACACGCACACTGGACACTTAAAGAGGAAAGTGGGGTGGACTAAGATTTAGGGTCTTTTATATTTAAACTTCTTTTAGGAAACAATTTACTGCCTTAAAGTTTTCTCGCTGAATTCTTCACTTTCTCAGGCTTTAATGTGGCATATTTTTCCCGGGTAAATTACGTTGAAATAGAGAACTTAATAAAAAGAAGACATGCATTTAATAGTAGAAAAGCACTCTCTCTCACTTGGAAATGGCCATTTGCAATTTCACGGATTATATATTTTAAAGGACCTCATTAAGGCGCTGTTTAAATTAAATTCCAGTTCCAGGCTAACCCTGACTACCAAATGACTGGAGACAACACTCAGCACATCCAGCAGTTCTATGATCTCCTGACGGGCTCCATGGAGATCATCCGAGGCTGGGCGGAGAAGATCCCCGGCTTCTCTGATCTACCGAAGCAGGACCAGGATCTCCTCTTTGAATCCGCTTTCTTGGAACTTTTCGTGCTGCGGCTGGCGTACAGGTGAGCTGCGTAATTATTAAACCAAACAATCAGGGGCTTTGGATAATCATCAGCTCCTCCTTCAAGCTTCATTGCTTTGGGTTTTATTAGCTGCCTAATAATAAGACGGCTCTTAAATCCACATTTACTGCCGTTTGTAATTAATGGCGTTTTCTTGTTAATTGCAGGTCCAACCCGGTGGAAGGCAAACTTATTTTTTGTAATGGAGTGGTGTTACACAGGCTACAGTGCGTCCGTGGATTTGGAGAGTGGGTGGACGCCATCGTGGAGTTTTCTTCCAACTTGCAGAGCATGAACATAGACATTTCAGCTTTTTCCTGCATCGCAGCCCTGGCCATGGTAACAGGTGCGTAAAAAAAAGCGAACGCTGCTCGAAAAACTCCGTCTGTGTAAAAACGCACGCAAAAGAGAAGAGAGGTGAATGCAGTGGAAATAATTCAGGTGTCATCTCTTTTCTGTTTCAGAGCGACACGGGCTGAAGGAACCTAAGAGAGTCGAGGACCTCCAAAACAAGATAGTCAACTGCCTCAAAGATCAAGTTACATTCAATGGCGGTGGATTGAATCGTCCCAACTACTTGTCAAAACTCTTGGGAAAGCTCCCTGAACTGCGCACGCTATGTACCCAAGGTCTGCAGCGTATCTTTTACCTTAAACTAGAAGATCTAGTCCCTCCGCCAGCAATAATTGACAAACTTTTCCTCGACACCCTACCTTTCTGAGTCCGACTCGCTGGAGAGACCTCAAAGAACTTCCAAAAGACTGTTTGAGTCAGACTTTTTAACATTATTATTATTATTATTTCCGAATACCTGCAAGATACAGTGCAACACATGAATAGGAATTCATTAAAAGAATATCACCAAGAAGAAGAGGAGGCAGTGAGCTTAAGATGTGTAGGCCTTTTCAAATCCTTCAAATTGCTCCCTCGAGTGCCAAACAGAGAATATTCGGCGATCCATTCGGCGATCACTTACACTTTATTCCACATCGGCTCCTCTGGTTCAGCATCTTCAGCTGTAATATATATATACCCATTTATATATACCACCACACGCACACACTGTATATTATGATAGATTATGTGATGCTTCCAACGCATCGGTTTATAACATGTGTACAAAGTTTGTTACGATGAAAAGATTTAATTCTCTTTTCTTTTCTGACTCGTGCCTATGTGTTTCTGACAGGATCCCCAAAAAGTATCCAGAAAAGACAACGCATGTTCTAGATCTTTCTTTTCCTTTCAGTTTCCTTTTCTTTTATAGGCACTTGCTGAGGTGATGTCTATATATAATATATACCGGACACTATGTAGTCTGCTAGATTTGATACAGATTCGTAGTTATGGCACTCCTTTTATGTATGACGCATATGTGGAAAAATATCTCATGTGTATAGAAAATGAGGGACCCATGGTGTTTGTAAAACTGTCAGACATTCCTTGTTTGTATGTGCTGTAAGTATTGTTGCTGTTGAATATAAACGTTTCTATATATTTATTATTTCTATTGCCAAGAGCTACACTAAGCATGGTGCAATTTAAAACGATTTCAAACCCATTGGAGTTCATGCTGAGCACGTTGTCTATGTTTTATGTCTTAGAAACGTCTAGCTAGTTTTGATTTAACACGTTTTTTGGAAATTGGATAAAGTCCATCTTATATGGAGAGGTTCATGAGTGTGTGATGTAGGCCCACATCTTTGACATCATGATGTACCCAACCACTTCTGTAACGCATTTGGTGCCCGACTCAAAAACTTTAGAGAGAAAGAAATATTTAATGTTTACAAATAAAACCTTTAAATCAATCCATTTGCTAAAATTTCTCTGAAACTAATTCATTCTTTAAAAAAAATTAGATCTTTTTTGGGCGGAATGAGCAGAAAGATCCTGTGCGCGCAGGCCTGTTTGCACAAAATCATGAAACAAGTTTCTCTGGGTATTTCCTTCAAGCACTTTTTAGCCTTGAACTGAATTTATGTATCAAAATTAATGTATTTAATTAAATACTTAATAACAGACAGGCCTGGTCATTTTGAAGCCTTACTCCTTTCCTTTTATTCGACAGTTTTCATGGATTATTTACAGCTAATGCTGAGCAGAGTTTTCACTTATCAAACAGAAATTTAATGTTGGACTATTTCTGATAACACTTTAAAGTCATTTTCGCATTGCGACATTTATTTTATTCAACTGAAATGATAAAAACGCTTTCATGAACTTATTCCAGGCTGGGAAACTATTTCCATTTTGTTATTTCTATTTATCACCTAAATTGGAAAAAAAAGTTACGGTGCATTTATTGCACCGATTAAAGATTTACCTGAAATTAAGAAATAAAATTGAGCGATCACTTCAGAAAAAGAGAGTTGAATTTTAAGTTTTGTTATATAATCGGAGGCTATTTGGTTTTGTATGAAAACTGACGCAAAAGTTTGCAGTCGTCTGTTTTGGTCAAAGGCTTTAAAAAATACGGTGTATCCTACAACTTCGAGTCTTTTTATTTAAAATGGACGTATTTTGCGCAGTTTTAAAGGCTCATTTGTCCTCCTTTATGTTACCCGAAATACAACCTTAACTTGTAGCCTACTGCCCCGCTATTTAAATACCAAAAACCCATCATTAAAACTTGTGAATAAGATGAAAACGTCTCAAATCAGAGAGGGAAAACAATGACTTGGAAGATTTACGCAAAGATGGCACAGCCTTGTCTGCGCGTCACGCTGCAGCGCTGCACTTCTCCGAGTCGTTGCGGTCAGGTTGAGGGAGTTAGGCCGATGCCACACAGGTGTGTTTGCACTCTTTAACACAAAGTAGCGCAATTGTTTAATAATAATCATGTCACCTCATGCGGACCCCAGGGGACAACCCGGGTCCACACCTTGGAGTCCACTCAGATAAAAAAGGAAAAGTCCGTCTGCTTATTCTTTACTTTATTGAACTCGCTGTCCTTATACAAAAGCAGTCTGCATACTATAGCGGCTAAGTGCAGAAATGAGAGTGATTCCGGCTCGTACATAAAGCGGCAGTGATTGGCCTGTGCGCTGTCACAAAGCCTCTCCGTTAGTCTGTCAGAGCAGAGAAGTGACGCCAGGCTCTGAGGCATGTCTGCGACTTCTCCTCCCTGATTCCACATTTATCACATGATCGAGATGAAGGGAACAGCTTATTTTGAGAGATATTAGCAGCAGGCAATAAATTGTCTAAATAATTAGATCGTCAGTGTAAAGTGCTAATTCCAAGGCAAATTGGGATTACATTCAGAACCAGTTTGCTGACATTTAGCAGATCTGCTGAAAGGGTGCATTACAATGTCACAAGTTCTCTCTATTGACTCAAAGTACAGTTAGGCTTTAAACGTGTCTGTCTCAGCACAATAAAACATGACACAAGCAGCTAATACTTCTGTCAGTGTTTGTGCCTGATTATATGCTGGAGGACTCCAAGTCTAGATTCATTAACAGCATATGACTTAATTTCCTCCCCACACTCGGCAGCAGTGGAGGGAAAGATGTGGTAGTGTCAGCACAGGCAGGAGAGGAAGGAAGACAAGAAATCAGTTTCTAGTTGTTCAGCCAAGTTTTGGGCTTTTGCACAGAGAACAACAAACCAGAGTCTTAGTACTAGCCGTCTTCTGAGAGCGGACACTTCATGCACCTGCAGCTGAATGCTTGTGCATGAATTTGGAAAGGTTTCACATTAGAGTAAAAGATGCTTCCTCACATACTAGTTGCATTATCGTGATAATTACGGATCATGTTGCGTGCACAGCTGCACGGCGCCTCTCTTTTGTCAAGTTCTGTGCAGTTTGACAGGTTCAAAAGCCCTCTTTTTGCATATTTTGCTATAGCTGAAATTGACCGAAAAGCAACACCAGTCTGTGTGATTTTTGTCTCTATTGGCTGTGACTGTGGATTTGTTTAATGAGTGAATCATCATTTAAGGAAGCAGAGATAAGCCAGACCTTAACCTCATCTGATCCCTGTGGTGGGATAGCACTTGACCTTTTACCTTTGCACTGCATGGGAACTTGGCAGACAGACATCTGACAAGCAGTACTCACTACTACTCAGACTGAATCTGCTTCTACTTAGTGCGAGCTACATTTTCAACCACAGCAGCAAACAGAAAGATGAAGAGGAAATTTTAAAAATACAAAATTAAGTTTTACATGCAGCCTGTTTGTGATCCTCCATCATCATGAGGTGTAATTTTCTCCCTGCTGGATGACACAAGGGTCAGCTACAGTCAAGTTTTACTGCTCTATTATTTCTCCGATGTTGCATATTATTTCAAGGAAGTCAAAGTCTTCCCAAAAAGCCTTGCCGCTCCTAAAGTAGATCCACCTGCTTCGCGAGTGAGTTTAACAACTTCACTGACTTTTTCAACTCCCTGGTCTTCTTGTTATTTCCCCCATAGAGGTTAAATTCCACCCGCCTTATGAGCTGATGTGTTTGGTCACGTACCACTCGGTTAAATTCGGCTACTTTTCTTTTGTTTGTTCCACTTGCTCTGCTTCCTCTCATGCTATCCCCCTCCCCTCTCTCTCTCTCCACTGTGTGAGCCCGCAGTAAAACATGTTGATTACACAACTTATGAATCTCACGAGCCCCGCCGACTCTACCTCTAAACAAAATGAATGAATAATGAGTGGAATGATGGCCCTTTGGATACGACTGCCCATAGTTATATTACTGTGACTATTTGATTTACCATATTGAAATGCTGATGATTGTCCAATAAATAATGCAAAAAGCTGATTTCCAAGTGGCGTGGCAGGGAAAGAAATCCACCTTGCATATAGATGGAAGCGAGCCGTTTGTGGATGTGTGTGTGTGTGTGTGTGTATATGTGTGTGTTTCCCCTCTCCTCTCTCAGCCTGTGGCCCACAGCGGCTTTATCATTCATAGGACTAAACAGACAATCAATTCAGCAGCCATGTATGAAGGATGAAGGGATGCGACAAGCTGTGAATGATGAGGAGCCAAAAATCAAAGGCCTCACTCCTTCTTAGCTCTAATGGCCATTACCAGGCCAGACAGCAGCAGTAAAATGAGGTTAATCATTCGCACAGATCCTCTCAAAGAAGATTGACTGGACTTGATGCCTAGTCAGATCACTCATAAATATTTACTTCATATTAAACAGCTGTGTACGCTCTGTTATCATGCATTGATTTCTGACGGATGCCATCAAATTATTGTTTCAAGTGTGGTCAGTAAAAACCATTAAGGCAGTGTTTGTACCAAGACTCAATTAGGCTAACCACGAGAAATTAATAATGCAATGAAATTGACAGGATATTATGTTAGAGGGGTGTTTCCTTAAGGAACTATGAGTCAAAATTGGAAAGAAGAAGACTAATTTTTGCAGCATCACAAAACCATCAGATACCACATGAGTCTGGATGCTTCATTTAGAGAGGGATCGCTCACTGAATCTGTCCAATTTAAACAGTTGAAGTTTACAGGCGCCGTGAGTATCAGTATTGAACACACAGGCTCAGTCCTTTGACCTTATTGACAAAGTGAAATCGGAAATTTCCTTAATAGAAAGAGTTAATGTTTCCTCGGGCGGACATGTTTCCGATTCAATTAGTTTTAATGAAGCCGGTGCTCAGTGGTCACTGGAGTAGAAAAAACAAGCATAAATGCCTGATGGTAATAGAGGACATATTAAGGAGGTAGGGATCGGACACACAGTGCGTGTTTCTAAGTGGCGAAAAAATGCCTCTATCAGGCTGGTGGAAGCCAGTGGCTTTGGGAAGCAGTGAGTTGTATGAGGCTCAAATGATGCATTAGGTCTCTGGGGCGAGGCTGGAGGAGACTGAGGGGTTAGCCGTAAAAACAGACAGGAGGATCTGAGTGTGGTTACGGTGATGTGTGCAGGGTGCCACGGAGAAGATAAAATTATCCCCTTCTAAAAACCACATCTACCCTGAAATAATGTATTTTTTAATTAATTTTATTTACAGAATTTGACTTTTGATTTCTAAGAAAGAAAAAAAAAGCTTTTCTATTCCTGCCTTTGTATTCCACCACGTTTACACCTTCCTCTGTGACAATGTGACTGAATGCAGAGCTGCAAACTACCCCCCCCCCCCCTTCCCCTTCCCCTCCCCATCTGATGTCAGTGTGTAAAATGTCAACATGGTCAGATGCACTGGCTCGGTTCCTGCAAGAATATGCCCTCGTCCTGTGTTATGGTTTTGTGCTGCTGCTCCATGTGAAGTGAAACATATTAAACACACCCATGCACATGTAATCTGCTCATGTCCTTGGGTCATATGTGTGTGTGTGTGTGTGTGTGTGTGTGGTGTGTGTGTCTGGTCCTCGATCATCTGCTAAGTGTCAGAGTTCCTCTCAGATTTAGCATCACTGTTTTTATGCAGTTTAGAGGTAATCTAGATTAAAGAGATCGACGCGTATGTGTGTATGTGCAGACTATGACCACTTACCATGTCTTCTCTCACCTGATCACCTGTTTACCTCTGCTCTCTCATAGTGGCATGAACAAATACACCTGAAAAAACGAGAACAAAAAAGCACAAAGTTAACAATTTAAGCTCCACTTTTGAGAAGATTTAGGGATGTGTTTGGACATTTTTGGAGCGACAGGAAAAAGTTTCACTGAAGACTTTTTGGAGAAAAAATAAAAATATTTGTTTTTCAAAGCTCCAAGACTCCAGTCGTATCAGAGGTTAGGAAAAATGTTTTGTTCCGTGCTGAATCTGAGAGGCAATCAAACCAAGCAGAAAAATAATGATAATAGTTCGAGAGCTTGCATTAATGTATTATTTTTTTTTACTTCTACAACAACATTTTACTCACTACCTCATAATTTCTCACTATGACTAACAGAAAGTAAACAAGCCTGAAATTCCCTCACACTCGTCTGCATCTACAGGGCATCTCGGGCCCTGTGCATGAATTTCTGTGTGCATGAATACACACACTTACACCCACAGTGACAACAAAAATAGATGCATTTGATGGTTTAACAAATCTCTCTTAGCACAC